GTTTATACATACTATTAACATGTATATTTAATAAACCGAGAGCGGCATCAAAGACAATTCAAACGTTAACTAGGCTTTGATATACTTATAGGAGTGGAGAGCTTAGATAGCATTGTGCATGATTTATTCAGACAAGACATGTATTGAAAAGGAATAGAGTGATAAATCCTTTCTCATACACGTGATTATTAAAAAGGTTGTGCTGAGATCAAAGTGAAAACATAAACAACATCATCATGCTCAATCATTTAAATTATGAATGTCCATGGAACAAGACCAACTATTGCTTACCAATTTAGTGGGGGAATTCATTATAACATACTGAAAATGGAGTGGTGTATATTGAAAACCGAACGACCAATCAATTTTCCAGATCCGTCAGACCTGCAATAAAGCAAGAAAAAAAGGATTGTACAACCGTAACCAGTCTTTTACTACTTACACTTCGTTTAACGTCTTGACGTAGTGCTTTCCAAAAATTGTAGATATAAAACCTGAAACCTGATATTTCAACAAGAATCTGCACTAAATTAATTAGCTGAGTTGAAAGATTTACTTCTTCATTTCGTGAATTAATGTAGAATAAGCTCTCACACTATACATTCGATATTGATTTACACTGGAAAGTAAACATGTGTATTATCAGGTGCTTTGCTTGGTTCCACACGGCAGGTTAAATTAAATTCCTGTAAGTCTCTTGAGAGTAGCGGGTCAATGTTATATAATGTTATCAGTTGAAAAACATCCATTAGAAAGTTGTCTGCTGCCATATGAAACTCTCTGGAGTTGCTGTCATGTCTAACAGGTTAGCAGACCTTTTGTCTGACACAGAGACCGGATTTCTATAGCTGAATCGGTCTGCCTTCTTTGAAGTCGATTGTAGAATCACGAAAATTCACTTCACTTATATCTTTCTGTTATCATTTGGTGCTGATTTTTGTTATTTATTTACACTAGAGCTTGCTCAACAGATGCTCTAAATTTACAAAACTTATATAATTAACTGATATTACGAAAAGGTCACCAGATTGTTAGAACACAACAGCTCTAAATCCATTTGCATGACAATAATTTGACTGAAAACAGCGGCTTTCAAAGTTCCCTTCAGGCACTCAGCATGCAATGTTCATAACAATAGTTAAAGCTTTCAGACAATCAACAGTAGGAACACAAGTTCTCAATTGGTATGTTCAAATATTGGGAAAACACACAAACTACACATTACAGTGAATGAGGAATTAAATAAATAAACAAAATACCGCATGGTGCCAGATATTATGTAAAATAAAATTAGGCCACGTCACATCATCCTAAATAGTGAGTTCCACTTAGTGATTGTAGAGTCTTTGATTAATGACCCTTGAAAGCCAACCACACTTGCTGTTCAATGGAAGAGAATTAATAGGAGCTTTCCCAAGGGAGCATTACATCGTTCCAATCAGAGTTAACCAATCCATAACTACATCGGGAACAATTTCCATAATTCTAAAATGTCGAAGAAATGTTAGTGCAACGCACCAGCATCAATAATATAAAATTTCTTTGGGAAGATGTGACACGAAACTTGACAATTTGAATGATCTAATAAGGTCCAGATCGAACAATGAAACGTAATGAGTAAACACGAAGTTAATTTTGTCGATTTTGTGAATTCCCTAACCTTTCTAGTGCAAATTTTCTTAAACTGTATTCCCAGAAAGTCAATGTGATTGATAATAGTATTGATTTACATGTACTTGTCCCTTGTACTAAATTTGATATTTAGCGTTTTCGAGTTATTTCAGGTCATTATTCACTCCATTCCATGCACCATCACACTAATATAAGTTTCTTACGTAATTACAATAGATGATGTGAGTTTCCATCAAGTCTAATAGTTTAAAGGTACCAATCACACTTTAGTCTCAGAAATGTGATTTTTTCGTACATTTCTAGTACTTCTGAAGACTATTTTCATATATTCACGACTCAAATCAACCCACCAAAATGGCGCACCTGTCCTTTTAAATATCAGTTTAAAGAGAAATGTACATGATCAATTTCATTAAGATCATCAATGAATCTTCGATATTAAACTTTAATAACCTGTTTTAAAAGAGCCTCATAACAAAATCAAAATACTCTCAATATTAATGCTACCAGGCACTTCAAAGTTCTCTTCACCAAGTCAGCTATACATAAACGAAAGCATCACACAAAATCGCAGAAGCCCAGAAATTCAAGAAGAAGACTTCCAGGTGTCCTGTATATTCAAGAGGTTACGACAACGCCCGACCAAGCAATTCTGAACGGAAGCAGCATATGTGTTTATAAAGTTATCTAATATCATTCATATCATAATCATCAGAAAACATTGCAGTTGTCTACTTCATGGCAAACGAAACATTTCCTTTTGGTCTCTCGTTTGGACAGATTTAACTAGATGCTTTATATATCATGATCGTCATCACTATGAGAAAAAGCTAAAAAGGGGTAACTGTAAACCTACTGTTTTGTTTAGATAATCTATTTTTCATCATTTCTGTGTTAACACACAAAGAATAATAATATATCTGCATAATCTGCAATTTCTATTTTTGGCATTTCAAATTCTTTGCGATAACATCGTGATATTTGAAGCCAACTCCCAACATATCAATTACATTCTTCGACAGGTTGTATTTGAAATCAAACCGAAAGTAGTATATGGGAACAATCAGAGTCTAAGACGTCATTTTTATTATAATTCCAGGAACCATGATAAATAAATAGACCATTTTTCAGCCTGCCAACCGAACCAATATCTAGACAAGATACTTTTTTTTTCGTATATGTTAACTAGTTAGCGATGAAAAGAATTTCAACGACTGTGGTAAATGAATGGTCGGGGATGTTAGTTCTGACATCGGAGAAATTCCATTTAAACGATGATCTAGGTGTACTAGCAGTGGAGATGCATCACAATAGACCACCGAGTGCAACTTTTACAGTTCATCTGAAAATCGAATCTGCAAATTTTCTTTTTACTCCTGTCTCACCAAAATAAACATAAGAAGACCAAAGTTCTTCAAAGGGAACGCTTAATTGACATACTGTTTCGTACGGTGAGATCAGGTGTTCTGGAATATTCTACCAAACACATTTCATCATCTTGTACATATTTTCTCTATTACAGACCTCATAAGAATCCTGCGTTTACAAGTCAATGTTTTCTCATCACGAAAATCATTTTAATTATTTACAAACATTCAGAATGTTTCAGAAATAGGTCATTTTATTTGATAAGATCTAATATACCTCCTGTTTTATACATTAAAAACTGGTTTAACAACATTGGTAACCTCTTCAATACAGTATAGTGCAATCAAAGCATATTCAACAATTAGCTGATAAGAACCATATGCTATGATAAACTTGGGTGGTCTCCAATCAAGATAAACCTATATTTTGTCCAAAAGCTAGTTCCACCAAGGATATGGTAGCGACACTTTGCTGCCAACCACAGAGGTTATACCTACCATCGGCTTTATGTCTAAGTTTAATAACAAATTACTTAACGATTTACTTGTCTTGTCCAGTTTGGGCTAATAAAGACGTGCTACATAAAGTTCGAATTGATAAAAATTTGTCAGATATTTTCGGAAGTTAAAACCAGCACCTTTAACCTATGCGAAAGTAAGTTGAGCATCTATTATCTAACTAGTGTGGGTGGTTTTACTGTTAATATCGTTTTCCACTAAGGACAGCGTCGTTAGCCATTTCTTTTTCAGTTGTCTGTCTGTTACTTACACAGCAAACATAAGCATGATGGGACCTACCGTCATCGGCAGTTATCATATCCATGACCATGTTTATGTAAATTGTAGTTTGGGTGGTCGTTTCATTAAAATAAATCTATAAGTGTTCGATTGACAATTGTAAACAGTACCACAAGACATTTCCTCTACTTTCGTGTTTTACATAATACAGTTTACATTGTGATATCTTGGGGGGATAAACAGTTAAGTGGTCTCTTCTATTTTAATCACTGTGAATAAACATCTCTAGGAGAACATTTCTCAATGGAAAGTTGTATTGCAAGCATTTACAGAGTAAATGAGAAAAGTTTTATAACAGATGTCCTTTCGACTAGAACTGTAATTCAATGTATCTGAGAAGAACTATACAACTGAAAAGCAGAGAAATTGTGGGTGTTATTTTTGCTCAAAATATCGGGTGGGTCCAAACATCAGTTGAGATTGTGATATTTTGGATTTGCATATAGGTTACTTCAGATGTTGAAACTGGCGTGACGCAAATACGAGCTTGAAGATCTAGAGATTGAGATTGAAGTAGTTATCTGTTTTTTCACAAAAGATTGGGCATACTTTCAACTGGTTTCTTTAGTGGAAAACGATATTAACAGTAAGTCCACCTACACTTCTAGTTAGATGATAGATGCTCAACTTACTCGCGCATAGGTTAAAGGTGCTGGTTTTAACTTCCGAAAAATTATGTCTTAGTATATCAACTTTTTAAGCCTGTAAAAATGTTTAAGGAATGATGAATGTTGTCAAACAATAGTGAATGATAGGCTTCGTCTTGTAAATTTAAGCAACAATGTTTTACCATGTCATATTGATAGATGATGTTTTACCCATGCCCTGTTAATCAATGATCGGCCGTCATTTGATTAATGATAGGCTTATCCATAGATGAAGTTTTATACATGCAATTTTGATCAATGATAGGTCGTCATTTTGAGCAGTGATATTTTCGACCATGTCATATTGATCAATGATATTCTTTAACCATACCATGTTGAGTTATGCTAAGTTTTGTCTTAGCATATTTATTAAATGGTAGATTTTATTCTGCAATGCTGAGCAATAAAAGGTTTTATCTTTTCATATTGAGCCATGATGGGTTTTGTCATCAGTTAAGCAAGAATGAGTTTTGTCTTGCCATATTAAAAAATGGTTGGTTCTAGTGCCTTGCCATTTTGAGCACTGAGGTTTTACCAAGTCATGTTGAACAATGATGGGTTGTACCAAGCCATGTTGAACAATGGTTGGTTGTACCCAGCCATGCTGAACAATGATGGGTTGAATCAAGCCATGTTGAACAATGATGGGTTGAATCAAGCCATGTTGAACAATGATAGGTTTTACCAAGCCATGTTGAACAATGGTTGGTTGTACCAAGCCATGCTGAACAATGATGGGTTTTACCAAGCCATGATGAACAATGGTTGGCTGTACCAAGGCACGCTGAACAATGATGGGTTGAATCAAGCCATGTTGAACAATGATGGGTTGTACCAAGCCATGTTGAACAATGATTGGTTGTACCAAGTCATGCTGAACAATGATAGGTTGTGCCAAGTCATACTGACCAATGATGAGTTTAACCAAGTCATGCTGAACAATGATGGGTTGTGCCAAGCCATGTTGAACAATGATGGGTTGTACCAACCATGTTGAACAATGATGGTTTGTACAAAGCCATACTGAACAATGATGGGTTGTACCAAGCCATGCTGAACAATGATGGGTTGTACCAAGCCATGTTGAACAATGATGGTTTGTACAAAGCCATACTGAACAATGATGGGTTGTACCAAGCCATGCTGAACAATGATGGGTTGTACCAACCATGTTGAACAATGATGGTTTGTACAAAGCCCTACTGAACAATGATGGGTTGTACCAAGCCATGTTGAACAATGATGGGTTGTACCAAGCCATGTTGAACAATGATGGTTTGTACAAAGCCATACTGAACAATGATGGGTTGTACCAAGCCATGCTGAACAATGATGGGTTGTACCAACCATGTTGAACAATGATGGTTTGTACAAAGCCATACTGAACAATGATGGGTTGTACCAAGCCATGCTGAACAATGATGGTTTGTACAATGCCATACTGAACAATGATGGGTTGTACCAAGCCATGTGGAACAATGATTGGTTGTACCAAGCCATGTTGAACAATGATGGGTTGTACCAACCATGTTGAACAATGATGGGTTGTACCAAGCCATGCTGAACAATGATGGTTTGTACAAAGCCATACTGAACAATGATGGGTTGAATCAAGCCATGTTGAACAATGATGGGTTGTACAAAGCCATGTTGAACAATGATAGGTTGTACCAAGCCATGTGGAACAATGATTGGTTGTACCAAGCCATGCTGAACAATGATGGTTTGTACAAAGCCATACTGAACAATGATGGGTTGAATCAAGCCATGTTGAACAATGATGGGTTGTACAAAGCCATGTTGAACAATGATGGGTTGTACCAAGCCATGTTGAACAATGATTGGTTGTACCAAGCCATGCTGAACAATGATGGGTTGTACAAAGCCATGTTGAACAATGATGAGTTTAACCATGCCAAGCTAAACAATGATGGGTTGTACAAAGCCATGTTGAACAATGATTGGTTGTACCAAGCCATGTTGAACAATGATTGGTTGTACCAAGCCATGCTGAACAATGATGGGTTGTACAAAGCCATGCTGAACAATGATGGGTTGAATCAAGCCATGTTGAACAATGATGGGTTGAATCAAGCCATGCTGAACAATGATTGGTTGTACAAAGCTTTGCTGAACAATGATACAAAGCCATTTTGAACAATGCTGGGTTGTACCAAGCCATGCTGAACAATGATGGGTTGTACAAAGCCATGTTGAACAATGATGAGTTTAACCATGCCATGCTGAACAATGATTGGTTGAATCAAGCCATGCTGAACAATGCTTGGTTGTACAAAGCTTTGCTGAGCAATGATAGGTTGTACAAAGCCATTTTGAACAATGATGGGTTGTAACAATGATGGGTTGTACAAAGCCATGTTGAACAATGATGGGTTGAATCAAGCCATGCTGAACAATGATTGGTTGTACAAAGCTTTGCTGAACAATGATAGGTTGTACAAAGCCATTCTGAACAATTATGAGTTTAACCAAGTCATACTGAACAATGATGGGTTTTACCAAGCCATTCTGAACAATGATGGGTTGTAGAAAGCCATGCTGAAGAATGTTGGGTTTTACCAAGCTATGCTGAACAATGATGGGTTTTACCAAGCCATACTGAGCAATATGGGTTTCTCTCTGCCTCTTTAAACTACGTGAAATCTGCAAATAATATGTAGCAGGTGATAAAACGACTCAGGTAACAGATTGTTTTTAACTTTAGAAGCTAAAAATAATCTAAACGTCTTTTCTATACCGTTATAACCATAGCATATAACATCTTTACATATTTTTATATTTATATAAGTCTTGTAGAAAAACACAAGAGTGTTTTCTTTTACAACAGGACTGGGTAACTGTCTTCAAGGCTCTCTCTCTCTGAAGATTGAATGATGAATTTGCAAAAGTGGTTTCCTGTTGAGATCTTTGAAGTTCTAATTACCTTTACGTCACATGTGTTCGACTATATCATACCTGGTTTAGTTAGGTTCATCTTTCAAATATAAAAATAAAATTTGATAAGCAATCTTATAAAGCGGATGAATTCCGTCACAAAATGAGGAGGTTTTCTAAGGGAAATATATCCATTATCTCTGTTCCTCTCGAATCTGTGCCTTTGGAAAGCGATGCCAATTCCTAGTCAAAATGCTCCTCATTGCAACTACATGGAATTGTCCGTCTTCTTGGTGCAGCTAGATAAGACTTATCGTAATGCCAGTTGCTATATGTGAGCATATAACACTAATACGATTTGTTAAAGTTGGTTAGACTAGTAACCTGTTAACTAATGGAATAATACAGTGAGAGTTGTAAATGAGATTTTAATGGTGTAATGTTACAGCTCACTGTCATTGTGATAAATTACAAAACACTTGCAGTTAACATCAGTTCAAAGTCTTACAGACTGTAAGCCTTAAAGGTAATCACGAATAGCAAGATTTTTTTTCAAAATGGAAATATGTTAACGTGTCCTTAATACCATAACGACTAGACGGGATTTGTGATAATCAAGTAATTTTGATTTTTTTGTAAGGGTTAAATATAGCCCTAGCAATTGTGAATATGTTTCGGGACAAAATTAAGTGAATTAGGTACAAACAAGATTTTGGAGGAGGATTCTCACAAAAATATGGTCTTTGACATATTATTCCGTTGTTGTTAGTTAAAGAGGTTAGAGTTAGTGAACTTACATATTTATTTTATTTATTTACAGTATATCCACTGTATGTGTCTCGTATTTCAGTGTATTTTACATAGTGCATGAGAAAGTTCTATATGTTGACAAATTTCTCACGCATTCGATTCCACGAAGAAGTAAACCATTGTGCAGTAGTATGTAAAGCAGTTTTCAGATAGGTCATAGGTCACAGGTTGGAATGTTTTGACAACTCTTTTCAATATTGTCTTCCGGATCACGTGATTACGATGAAATGACTATTCCAAAGGTCAAAATTGAAATTGAGAGTTGAAAGGTCAAATGATATGCAGGTGGTAAGTAAATTAAGAATGTAGGTTGTAAATCTTGGCCGCATTCCAATAAACAGTCTGAAATCATTGCAACTTATTTATTTTTGTTTACATGTACCATGCCTTGTGGAGAGACGTTCAATGCTCGAAAGCCTTTCAGTCAACCGTTTTATGCCATGTAAACATTGGATATGATGTACCTAAAGTTGAACGAACATCGTACGAAGATACCTAACTTTCTACGGTCACGATGGATGCCATCCACGTTGCACGTTGTGTTAAAGCAAAGATGATTTTTATTAGATTATCAGCTATTTATAGAAACAGATAGATGTACTTGTACCTCGGCCTTCGATAACATACTCATGGGAATAATGTACATCCAATTTGACTTGCGACTGTCGTTTACTGTTAAGAATCACACTTATTATCAACAATTACATTTGTAGGTAATTCTAATCAATTACCAATTCTGAACCACAATAATGGATGTGACGAAATTAACTTATAAGTTATATGTAAATGTTGACGATGCTATTATTTATTCTAAGCAGCTGCCATGGAGGTTCGATTGGCTATAGAATAATAATGCCACACAAGCTTTCACTGCCCAGGAGCTAAATGGCGCAACTGCATCGTGTAAAAAATCTTCGTGATAAATGTTTTAGGGTATAATCTGTGTAAAAAACATGTGCTGAAAACATGTGTGGTACATAATGATGTGAATTCTTGTAGGGGTTCGGAGTAACATACATAGTTTAAGGAATGAACCATACAATTTAAAAACAAGGAATGTTAATAAAATCTTTCATAGGAAATTGTTGTTCCACCACTGCATATTATCCATATTTAAGTCGAATTTTGCTGGGTTTGTCTCTTAAAAAACACCATCGACATCATTGTTTGGTTATGTTTTATTGCAATATGGTCAGATATAATTAGACGAGGCTGGTGTCGACCCATTAGTTAGACACCCTAGGCATGGTTACATGATGTGAACGTATGTACAAACTATACATTACCATAGAAAATTGACCTCTTAGATCTATTACTGTATCATAGTACCTATTAATTACTCTTACTGTTGTGATATTAATGATTTATATAATACTATCATGAGTTCCGTAGATCTGTGAGAGCAAGACTTTTTGGAGCCAACCAATAACACGAGCAGTGAACCTCAATCTATTACAGCTAAATTAATCTCGAAGGGTTAGTTTACAAAAAAGCCAAATGGTAATTTTATTGATTTTGGGTGACCAAATATTGTTTGACTGGTTACAGCGTTGTCCACATTGAAAGTTACTAGATGCGAGATGCCGATAACCGGACAGTGTTGATTTCCAAAATGCACGTTATTCGAATATAAGGAAAAAGGCGCGATTTGATTTTAAAAATAAACCTAGATCGGTAGGCTTGTTACATAAATTGGGAAAATCTTTTTATTGGTTATTGAACTAATTGAATAACGTCGTATTTTTTTAGCAATTTAATAAGACCGGAACAGTGTTCTCGTTTCAGATGACATTGATAACCGAGAATGATGAATAGTCTCTTATTACATGTCACAGTTTATTATTCATTATTCTTCAGAATTTTATTCATTGAAATATGTTTATCAGACAACGGGACTGCTTCAGACAAATCTACTAGTGATTAATTTCTTTGGACGTAATTATGTGGATTTTCTTAAAGTAATTGTTCCTCATCTGATGTATAAGCATAATGAAACTAAAAACAGAGAGATTTCTCTATAAGCAGATGTTCTTTCTTAATAGGTTGTAAATTAATTATATACACTTTCTATTCTAGAAAATACTATAGTCATGTTTAGAAGGTGGGTTTGGAGCAAATGATCAATTACGAGAATTGCACGAAAGTGCTCCTTTAATTTAATTTCATTAATGAATTGTTCTTTCATATTGACCTGCTATCTTTATAAAGAATATTTCATTACAGTACAGTTGTATTATTCAAATCAAAGGCTGA